CGCTAGTGGTTAAGCAAAAAATTATTTAAAATATCTTTATTTCTTCACATCAAGATAAATTCTTTCATGAGTTTGTTATGGCTGGCTCTTACTTCCAAATTGATTTAGTCAGTGTGGTGTCCCATTTGCAAAGATAAGTTTTCTTAGTAGAAGGTGCGATGAATCATTTCTAACAGTTGCGTAGCTGGCATTCCCCTATTTTCCCAGCTAGGCAATGAATGAAATCAGGTGGGTTTTTAAAAATTCCCTTTTCTTTTGCATGTGGTGTGAAATAGGATATGACTGGAGCCTCCCCTGAGCACCCTGCTGCACGGAGGTGTGTTCATGCGGTGCATGGGCTGCTGGGGGAAGTCTTGCAGTGAGGTAACAGCCTTGCTGTATTGCAGCACTTTTCTGTGGCTCTGAGCATTAAGAGGGTCGTGTCAATGAGCAATGCTAAATGTGTTCTTAAAGTTTTGTCCCTTCAGTTGCCAACTCTGTTGAAACGAGTTTGAGTAGCGTTTCCAAGGCCAGGAGAATGGACTTTTCCTCAGAAACTTTGTGAGATGAACCTGGTCAGAACAAGTTAGAAATCAGTGTAATCAGTGTAAGGTTTGCTGTGTTTGTTTTGATGCTCTTATAGGGAAGGTGGGGAGATGTTTTACTACTTGTTGGTGTGTTGAAGCGATTCATCAGAAGTGCCCGTTGTTGTTGTGTTCAGAAGTACTTTTCCATGTAAATGTTCCTGCAGCATACGCAGGGCTGTATGTAGATCACGCATTGCATTCTTCATTTGGAAGGAGAAGCCTGTGTGAATAGCTTGCTTCTTTTTGCCTAAACCAGCCTTCACATCACGGTTATACTGCATTGATGATCATTCTGTCTGGCTTCTCTTGATCAGCTGCACCGTAGCTGCAGCTGTGGTCTACTTCATTTACTGCTTATAAAGAAGGTCTTCAATTTCTTCTTACAGTTGGCTAGTGAGGGAATTATCTTTAGAGAATTGTGGGTGAATCATCTCTCTATTACTGTGGCTGTAAGTAATATCTGCATAGAATCCAGACAAATCCTGATCTTTGAAAGATCAACATCCTTTGAATTGTATACTTTCTGTCTTTGCTGTGGGTTGACCTTGGCTGGATGCTAGGTGCCCACCAAACCGCTCTATCACTCCCCTCCTCAGCAGGACAGGGCTGGGGGAGGAGAAAATAAGATGGAAAAAAGCTCATGGATCAAAATAAAGGCAGTTTAATAAAGCAAAAGCAAAGGCCACATGCGGAAGCAAAGGAAAACAAAAGATTTATTCTCTACTTCCCATCAGTGGGCAATGTCCAGCCACTTCCCAGGAAGTAGATCTTCATAGGCTTAGTGGTTGCTCTGGAAGACAAACATTAT